CGTTTGTGTTGTGAATTTCTTGAATTTTCGTGTTCTGTTTTTAAATTTGTAGGCAATTATTGTAATACATTCATATACAGTCTTTGGTTGTCTTTAATTTTTAATTTATACTTTTATCTAAATTAAGAATAAAGACCTTTAATACAAAATTAGAAGTCGGGAAAGGTCATTTCCCGCCATCTAAGAATCAATATTTTCTCGGGGAGGACCCCCGACCCCCTTTTATTTTTGGGTTCATCGATTCATGGAAAAAAGAATACATAGGCCTATGCAAAGTTTGTATACCGGTATGCACATAATAGGCCTATATACTGTAATAAGAAAGAGAAAAATTTACCTGATCGTTTTCAAGGGGTAAAACCTTGAATTTTTGAAGAACTAAAATGTCATTAAAAGACACATCAGAAGTCGGGAGGGGGGGGGGTTTATTGATTCATGGGAAAAAGAACACATATGCAACTACTCATTTTTCTATGTATGTATACACACATAACAGGCCTATTTACTGTAATAAGAATGAGGAAGTTTACCTGACAGGTGGGAAAACCTTGCATTTTTAAGAAATTAAAAATTAAAGGCAGCTAGCTCAAAGTCGGGAAAGTTCATTTCCCACCATCTAGGAATTAAAAGGGAAGGATCCCTGGACCCCGTTTTCTTTTTGGGGTTTCTGGGAAAAAGTTTGGCCCTGACCCCCTAAAGTTGAACCCATTCATCTTACTAGCGCCCCCTCCCCCACATTCCGCTGGCCCTGTAAAGGAACAAAACAGAAGTTATCAATTGAAAAAAGATTTTTTTTTGGCCGATAAATAGTTTAAAAGTGTCTTATTTTGCTCACAAAAGAGAGCCGCTAACTAAAGGAAAGCTACCAACAAAAAGCAAGCAACTAACTTACTGAAAATTATCATCCAAAAAGAGAGTTACTAAAGAGGACGTAACTAAAGCTCTTTCCAGACTCATAAATTGTATTTGACAAAAATATGTGACATGCCTCATTATGCCAAATATAGGCACACCATGACTAAATATGGGCATATGACATGTTTTTTTTGTCAAATACAATTTGAGAATCTATGGACAGAGGTTTACAGAACAAACAAAAATAATGTTAGTAACAAAGAGAGAGTACATCTATAAAGACGATATCGCAAACAAGTCGAGAATTACCAACAGTATGTAGATTCTACTGTACTTAGGCCTACTGGAGACTCCCTCTTTCCAGCTGTTATCCTACATTAAAATAAAATTGCTATTAGAAAAATGATTGCCAGGTTTTTCAGTGACATCTATAAATTGTCAAATTATTGATTGCTGACTATTTCAGTAGATTAACCACTTCATTCACAACGGCACCATATAAATCATTTTTTAAAATTCTCTTGAAGTTCATTAGAATATTGCATCGATTCGACACAGTTAGTTACCAATAGTTTACACATTACTACAGGTGTTTTAGTTCATCAACCACAAATCAGAATGTGATCTTTGCATGCGAATGTAGTGACATAATTCATCATACATTTTCCCCTATAAACGCTAAAGTAAACACATAATATTTCAATGAACCAGGTGGGGTTATATCGTTTAAAACACATTCACTATTTTTCAACGATTTTGTGACCTCAAGATGAATCTTATAGATCGAGAGCATAATTGATGAGCAGTTGCTACAGACTGTTACGTTTCTTTCACATGATTAACCTCTGATATTAATGTTACTTCTTTATATGTAGAATCTGGTAGGTTTGAGGCATATATTCTTTTTAATGTTTAAATCAATGTTTTATAATGTTAGTAGGCCTATTGGATTAATGTTGTTATCATTTACCTCTGCCATGGAGGTTGTTTATTTAGTTTGTCGTTAGTAGTTGAAAATGAAAAATGAACCTGTTCACCCAAGTCCAAAGTTATCATCGGTCGTCGTACAAACAATTGATGTACAGCTCTTTGTCACACCTGAGACAATAACTGGAATGATGAAGACGGTATCTGGGGTACCGCAAGGTGCTCACTGCAGCCTTTCGCAACCACAACTTCATCTTCGATTGTTTCCGAAGCAGAGGAAGTAGCGAAAGAAATAGGAGAGAGAGAGTTTGTGGAATTTAAACTCCAATCATCGCAACAACTAAAGATACATCATGCATTATGCCCCTACAAAACCCACCTCCTCTTTATCATGTCTTCGTAGGTGGACTTCATCAAAGTACCACAGAGGAAGAGATGAAGGATTATGTTACGAAAGATATTAGTATAACTCTAACAGATATGATTTCTTTAAAAAATAAAAACAAGCATTTTTTTTTATAAAGATTTAGTGGAAGGGTTAAATGAAATGGACTGTGGTATTGTCATTAATAATGAAATGTACAACGTTTTCTGCCATGATCTTTTTCTTACAAGCTTAACAGTATATGGTTTGCCAAAACTGATCAACTTTCAGATATTTATATTAGGTCACATGGGCTGAGATTTAACCCAAGCAAAACTATCTGCACCACATTTGTGATGAAACATCATTTAAAGTTGCTCCTTCGTGGCATTTATTTGACTCTGAGCTAACATATTCTGATGAAGTTACGCACCTTGGAGTGAAATTCAACTCTGACCTTAAAGGCAAATATCATATTAAAGAACGAATAATCAAGTGTCAAAGAGCATTTTATGCTCTGCAAGGGGTGCGGTTATGTAAAAATGGTTGTAACGTTGACGTCAAAAACACAAGTCTGGAACTCTATAATGGTTCCAACCTTGAGTTATGGTTTAGAATCTATTAATTTTAAAAAGTCGGATATTTAGGATGTGTTGCAGTCAAAATTAATCAAGCCTGCCTTAGGGCTTCCATAGTATTACAGAAACACACCGTTGTTTTACACTCTTAATATACCCCACATGAAGTGATAAAAAGTAAGCAAGTTAACTCACTATATCAGATTTTCGTTAGTAATTCCAAATCAAGATGCTTTTATTCACATATTAAATGGTTCAAAGAAAGACACTGAGAACATGTTAATTGAAAAAGTCTTAAACATTAATAAAACATCCATCTGTTCTATTTTGTTTAATAATAAGTTTCGATCCCAATTGTGTAAATCTTGATGATGGCCTTTGTGACAGTGTTAAGTTTTTATTATTTTCAAATCAGACTGATGGTATTATCAATTTTTTGAAACCATTTTAATGTATTTTTGTGTATTTTAATGGCAATGATTTTGTGCTCTCCCAAGGGAGGTTAATAAAATTTTGAATTTGAATTTGAATTTGAATAACAGGTTTATAGTCTCTATCGAGTGTTCGATTTAGTTTGAAGTTGTTTTCGTTCTTTACTACATCATCCATGACATGTATTTAAGGTACACTACATTCACATCGAATCCCAATTTTCGGACCGGAAAGCCTACCAAAGGGATCAGAAAATCAAATCAGCGTGTAAGAATAGGGATGCTGGTGTTCAGTGCATCGAAAACACGGTGCAAATTTTGATTCGGCTCCAATGTGAATGCAGCTTCATACACAATAGTCCTTTTCCGCAGTGTTTTAAATCAAACTTAACAACTGACCAATTAGAACAAAGCTAGGAATACGCGTGTCTCACAAACACACGTGTTGTCCCACGAACACATGTTTTAGCGTATGTTTTTTTAAGTCGTCTTGCGGGACCATAGCAACAATATCCAAGGGGCGGGGCTTAGTGGAAAGGTTAATTGTGTGCTTTCTTTCCACTATAATAAATGAGATAAATTAACAATAATACACACTCATGAGAATGTTAATTATAATACTAAAATGTCAGCATACTTATATTCACACGATCATAACATGCAAGACAATTTTTTTTGGCAAACAAACTATATACAGTAATTACATATTATTCTCCTGAAGATGATGAAAGCAACTCAATTGAAACAGTTCTTTTCAGATCTATCTATGTGATGTAGTGTAAACATTAAAAATGTTAAATATGATTGAAGCAACTCAATCGAAATGTCAAGACATTCTTAACAACAGTTCTTTTCAGGACTATCTACATGGTGTACCGCAACCATTAAATATATTATAAATAATTACAATTATGATATTCTTATGTGGTTGTTTTGAAAAGAGCTCTAACATTCAATCAACCTTATTACTGAAAAATCAGAACAGGATCAAGAAAAAGTGCTTGTTTCATAAACGTCTGTGATTAAGTAAGTTTATGGTGTCACTTTGTGGAATACACATTTTTTTTTTCCAGCTCAGCCCCCACAACCAACTTAAACTCAGCGCCCCATCAGCTCTCCCATGTCAAATCCTAGACACGCCACTGTATGGATAGGAATACTTTGACTGAGCTACGGTTCATTGGCTTTGCCAGCTCTTCTATCATGAGCCAAGCATTACATGACATTGACAAACTTCCTCAACCCGTGTCACTTTTGCATTTTCACACTTAAATCCAAAGTTACGGTAATCTTTATTGATCATACTGAAAATACATTCATCAGTATCAATTAAATGAAAAGCAGAACCTATTTTCAGGTGGTTCAGGAAGCTTCTTGACTTTTTTTTTTTTTTTTTTTTCATTCAATCAAGTAATAAATTACAATCTTTTTTAACAACTTCAGTAGTTTTTTTGTTTTTTTGTTTTTTTAAAAACTTAAATGGAATTAAGTTCTTATCCAACATTTGGAAATTACCATAAAATTGTTCCTAATTAGGGACGCAATTCTAAACAGATCTATGGCATAATTGTAGACTTGGCCTACAACTTGCAACAATTATCTGAGATATAATCTATGCAAATATTAGATAATGAGTGCTTTGGCACAGTTATTGAGTTTTCACTCTCTCCATACCCTTTCCCACTCCAAAGACTATGTAAGGAGTAAACTTTCAGTGTCATTTCAGCCTCTTATAATTTCTAAACTTTTCAAATGCAATATAAATCAAATCAACCTAACTAAAATTTACATAGGTTATTATATTTTTCCAGACATTAAATAAAAAAGCAGATAGTAGATGGCAAGTCTAGATGATAATAATATTTATTCAGCAATTTAAAAAATAACAGTGTTTGAAAGAATGGAAGGAGTTCTAAGCTGTATGGCCTCCTTTATACAAGCAAATCTGGACTTACTGACCATATTTAACTAAACCTTACTAGCCAAGATAAAAGTTTAATTTTTGAATCAATTAGAGTAACATTATATTTAATTCAATAGTTTTCTTGCCAGGGAGTTCTTTGATACTAAATTTAAAAAAATATTTTTTGAAAAATTGCCAGTTACTTCCTTTTGTGACGGTGGAGCAGTATAGTGTTTAGATCTTAGTTTATCATTTGTATACAAAGAATATCCAATTTAATTTTCGGTATTCATAGTATTAAAAAAATAAATAAAATAAAACAAATATTGGAAGCCAAGTCCAAAATATTTCTGCAAATTTAGTTATAAAGTATGCATGTTATAGCCTTATTTATACAGTACGGATGTTACCGCTGGCTTAGTATTGATCGATGTATAAAGCTATAACTTTAGGTAAATTACTGACAAAATACATCTAAAAATCCCTTCCTCCTCATTTAAATCATTACCACAAGAGTGAATAAAATCAACTTTTCAAATACCTGCTGCTCCTTATCTTTTACATAGACTTCCTTGTGAAGTCAGTTGGCCCTCAAAATACACCATTTAAAAAAAATGTTTTCCATAACCGTTGTGGGATCCTGCAGATGCCTTATGCAGTTCATAACACCTTCATAAAATGCTATTAATGCACAGATTATTATTATAATTATTATAAATTACAATCTCTTTTAACAAATTCAGTAGTTTGTTTAAAAAAAAATAAAAAATAAAGACTTAAAATGGAATTTAGTTCTTATCCAACATTTGGAAATTACCGTAAAATTGTTCCTAATTAGGGACGCAATTAATGCACAGATTATTATTATAATTATTATTATTAATATCATACTATTATTATTAGAATTATTATTATTATCACATTAATTACGATTCTATTGTTATCATCATTACCACTTCTGTAGTGTAATCTAGTTAGTTTACACATCTCTTATTTAATAAATGTTCAATGCATAGGATATTATTGCACCTGGTCACTTGGTCGACAATGCTCTGTTCTATTACAGCCATTCTGCGCAGTAGCATTCAACCCCACCAAGTACACACCTTTGTGGAAAGTAGCAATACAGGTAGATAAAGGTAACCAAGAGCCTTACCACTGAATCACTCACTTCTGCTTCAATGTAATATGTTCATGAAAGCATTATTACACTTTACTCAATCAGTTCACATTTGGTTCTAGAGTTTCAGCCATATTCAGAGCAGTAGCATGCAACCCAACCATGTACAGTATTTCCTTAACTTCAGATTGGAGAGAAGCAATTGCAGATAAGGTCTTCATTCAATAGTATTTAGTGTCTGTCTGGCTGCTAACATTCGTTTTCTTGCCTTTTGGAACATTTCTAGATAGCAGTTTAATAAAAAAAAGGAGAAAAGATACTGTAAGTACAACAAAAATTGCATACAAATATATTCTACATAGTGTTTCTGAATTCCTTTTGTAGAAAATACAAAGAAGATAATGTAACTGTATTAATATAGTATTGATATAATTATTAATATTGTTATGATTTAAAAATGTGAATTTTCTATGTTTATTATTGATTACAGAGAACAAATATTGCTGTACCTTAAGCCTAAACATACAAATGTTGTTTCTATGAGTTCAATATAAAAAATAGCTGTGGGAGGAGTGAGTGCAATCAATCAGTTGCAAAAATAGATATAACAAGTTACAGCAAGCTGGTACAGTGTATGATTATATCTGTCTCTTATAACGATGAATATTTTCCCCTTGTCCCCGCTGACGCCACCACTGGTCAGTACGGGTGCTACTAGCAAACCATTAACAGTGACGCGCAGTTAATGTATTGATCCCTGAGCAACAGGTCACCGCAACCATAAGTTAGATTAAAAAATAGCCTAATATCTGTCTCTTATACACATCTAGATGTGTATAAGAGACAGTTTCTAGATAGCAGTTTAATAAAAAAAAGGAGAAAAGATACTGTAAGTACAACAAAAATTGCATACAAATATATTCTACATAGTGTTTCTGAATTCCTTTTGTAGAAAATACAAAGAAGATAATGTAACTGTATTAATATAGTATTGATATAATTATTAATATTGTTATGATTTAAAAATGTGAATTTTCTATGTTTATTATTGATTACAGAGAACAAATATTGCTGTACCTTAAGCCTAAACATACAAATGTTGTTTCTATGAGTTCAATATAAAAAATAGCTGTGGGAGGAGTGAGTGCAATCAATCAGTTGCAAAAATAGATATATCAAGTTACAGCAAGTTGGTACAGTGTATGATTATATAGCACATCCGATGAGTTTGCTCAAGCCATCTTCATAACATCTCATGTTATCCATCATTAATGTCATAATATCTTAGTTGTCAACAACAAAAGGGTAAAATAAATTTACTGACCAAAAAATTTTGTGTACATACCTAAGACATTCTGCACTGAGTTTTGTGTTGAAACACCACTATGAAAAAAAAGATAATTATATAATGATGATGATGATATATACTTAAATAGATAAATCATAACAACAGTAGAGGTAGATACAATATAAACAAATAGATAAATATATATGACAGTGCTTTTCACAGGTTCCTGTATTTTTCTGATACTAGTGAATCTGACTATAAAATGAATTAAAAACTATATTTAAGAGAGAACTAAAGATATTTTTTGTTAAACTGAAAAAAAAAAAAAATTATGCCCTACATATTAAATTATGCAAAATTATGCACATGTTTTGTGTAAAAAATGTTGGACTTGATCAGTGTTTAGACTGTTTTCCAGCTCATTCCTATATTGGTTTTTGCATTATATTTGCATTTAAGAATACTATTACTTATTTGGAAAATAAGAGTTAGAGTTGAAGTTAATTTGAATTTATATTGCTATACTTAGGGGCATCAAGGTGATGGGTGCACGTACAGTATATTCAAGATTATGAGAAAAACAGAGGTAGAAAATAAGTATCACAGTTGGAAACACAATATTGTATTCTCAGAAATTTTTTCATCATGCATATCAACCTTTTCTAAACTTCAATGAATTTAACATACTTAGTTTATTTATATATTACCATTACATACGGCAATTTCAAATATAAACAAATAAGGATATAGCAAGAATGGTGCATGCTTATCTACTCAATCTACTCAAATTATTTATGAAACTTCATCAGTTCATACATAGCTTTTTCACAGTGAATGATGCATCATCACAAAAATAAATCATATTAATATAAATAGTTATTAGTTTTATAAAAATAATAGAATACTAAAAGAGATGGAAAATGCCCGTTTTTGTCTCTGACGGCCAAACTCCCACGCAAGATCTCCACCATGCCAAAATTAGTTGGCGTAATGACGGTAAACCACCTATGGTAACCTACCTAAGGTAACCTACCTACCACATCTCGGCTCATCTTTTCAACATCAAATCTCCACATAAGCTCATCACATTGATGAACCATTCAATTTTGGGTTAGTTTCCATCAAAATAAGTAATTATAATGAAAACGCATCATATGGATAATGATGGATAAGATTAGCTGGGTATGATATTTGACGCTGTTAACTCATAATTCATATACTGACATTTTGTATTAAAATACTGCTGTAGAAATTCTAACCGCTGCAATGAAGTTCATAAAAAGATCAATATTGAGTAAATTATAAGGTTGAGAGTAAATCCATATTTAGAATTATATATTATTATATTTAAATTTCCTCTTAAGAGTTGTGAAGATTCAAAAGTCAATTTCCTAAATAGGATTCAACTTTAACTTGACTGTAATTATATTCTAAAAATATCCATAGATAACAAAATTTCAGAATATCCCAAATATCATCACCGTTATCTACTCTACCTTTTCTTTTGTTTGACATACAATCATACTTAATACTTAAATAACAGTAAGGGTACAAAATATATGCATTTAATGACACTATCTATTTAATTATTTCATCTAATATTGACTTATCATTTACAATATCACATTTTATAAATCAGTCATGATGTCTTCATTTTCATTCGCACATAATTTTTCTATACATGAGCAGGCACGAATTCAATTTTGGTTTTGTTTTTAGGTTAGGTAGGATTTTACTTTCTGTTGATATTAAGACATCTATTGATTATATTTTAAGTTCCCTTGACTGGAGAAAATAAAATGTAAGATGGAATGAACAATTAATTCTTTTGGCTTTTAAATGTTTAAAAGGGCATGCCCCTCCTTACCTAACATCCAAATTTATTTTTAATTACGATATACATTCAAAATGCACTCATAGCCAAACGCATAATGATTTAATTGTACCATCTTGGAATATCTGCCAGGGCAAAAGAACTTTCTTACAGCGTGCATCAAAAAGTTGGAATGAACTTCCAAACGAAACAAAAAGTAACTTTAAAGAAATGACCTTAGTTTCATTCCAACATTTTATTAATTTAAAAGTTTTACATTAAATTCTCTTTTGACTTTATTTTTGTATTATATTCTTTCTTTTTTTTGATGATTTGTTTGTAACTGTACCACTTTGAAAAATAGTACTCAAGTACTGAAAGTGCATGCAGTCTAAAGAAAGAAAGAATAAATAAATATAGTGCCTGCTATTTTTTGTATGTTGTGTGCAAAAAAGCTGGGGTTGTTTTACATCACGATGAATATTTTCCCCTTGTCCCCGCTGACGCCACCACTGGTCAGTACGGGTGCTACTAGCAAATAATTAACAGTGACGCGCAGTTAATGTATTGATTCCTGAGCAAGAGGTCACCGCAACCATAAGTTAGATTAAAAAATAGCCTAATATATATATAATAACAGGGTGACTGACTTAAATTACTTACTGTCAATTTATTTTGACTGTCATATTGTAAATTTATTTTGACCTGCTTTAGGGGCAATTACTTTCTTAAAAAATTGCCTTCAGTCCTGCAGGCTTCAGGCAATTTTTTCAGTAAGTAATGGCTTTTTCAGCCTCTATTTTCTAAAAGATCCTCAGAACTTGACAATAATTGCATAATATATTAAAGGGTGTTGTACTGTTGTCGTTTGGGTATGATTATTAGTATTAATGGAGTGGGCTGTAGATTAGAATAACACTATTTAAAGGTAGATGCTGATTACATCAAAAAATTATTAGAATTATCTAATGGAATTTTTGAACATATTAGATCAAGGGCATACTGGTAATAATAATAATAATAATTTTGGCTTATATAGCGCATTATGCTAAAGCCTCAATGCGCTTAACAGTAAAAATAAAATTGGTAAGAGGAAGTATTACTGTGAGTGGGACGAAAGGTCACTCTCACCTTGATGAATCATTCTTCTCTGCCTTCAACTATTCCACCATTCACTATTCGCAGACTTAAGAAACTCAAATCCTCATTAGTATAGTACGACTTTTGCTAAGTATACTCAGCAACCCCCTACCTCAATCAGTCCCCCTCACAAGTATGTGTATGATTTTAAAATAAATACCAAAGATCTATGTCTTAATTACTATGCCGATGACACAATGATAAAAACTAAAATGAAACTAAAATTAGACATTGTAATGAGAAAATTTGACTCCTGAGGTTAACAAAGTACCTGACATTAACACAACCAACCTCTTAAGAAATCGTATTGATTTTCTAAAAAAAAGTGATATTATTGACACAGCAATATGAAAGCAGAGAAATTAAGATCGTAAAAAACTACAAGTATCTAGGCAATTTCATAAAACTCCTTGCTACCTTCGGCAATAAACTCAACTACAATGAATGAACATAATGAAAAGGTTAGCAAGAAGGCTAATAAAATATTTTTGCATTTCCTTTGTAATTACAAATTATTAGTAAGTTCCATTTTTTGATACAATGCTACTTCAAGTGTTTTGGCCAATACCTATGTTTTGTGATGTGGTATTCAAATTTTCTTATTATGAAGGAATTACACAGAGTATCATTAAACTAACATGTACATAGTTTACATAGTTGACTAAAGTGAATTTCACAAATATTATTCTATAAGCAAATAAACAAGATAAATAAGAACTTGTCAGATCCAATGAATAATATTATTTTTTTTCTTTTGTTACTTGTTTATGATTAATTTTTAATAGTATTGTTTACTGTATTTTAAGTTTAGTCCAGGGGGCCACCTTACGGGCTTATGCCTCATAGGTTGCCAACACTTGTTAGTAGGATTTTATATTGGTGAATACAAGTGAAAATAGAAAAGAATATAAATGATAATAATGTATGAATGAATGAATACAAAACTGGTAAACAAATCTCAGAGACTCTTGTTATCTAAAATCTAGTATGAAAAACTGACCTAGAAACTCCCTAATTTAAAACTTAAATTTAATTTCAACAAAACATTCCAGAAATAAATTATATTATGCCTAATATCAAATATTACATAATACATAAATATTGTTCTCTTCTTTGGTATTATGTTTGCAATGTTGAACTTTTTTCACCTAAAAGAAAATGAGTGCAGTAAAGTTTTTGCAGTGAGCTTGTGTGGTGCAAGTGAATACAGTATACTCTGTGCTGGATAAGTTAGTGCAGTCAACTCCTGTAGTGGATAATTAGTGCAGTCAACTTATCTGGAGTGGGCGTGTTAGTGCAGCAGTAAGTGATTGGATCAGAGGACACTTTGCTCCTACCATACAACTCCTGTAGTGGATAATTAGTGTAGTTAACTCATCTGGTGTGGGCGTGTTTGCGCATCACTAAGGGATTGGGACCAAGTTTTGCTTGTGTCCTTGGGCAAGAAACTTTTGCTCATTTTTCCTAGTTTTATCCCATACGCCAAGGCATTAAGGACACCACCATAATGAAAATCATTCCTATCAACTGTACTGAAAAACAAACAAACAAACAAACCGTATTAATTTTCGATCAATACTTTTGGGTTCTTCTCTGAACCTCCAGGGCGAGAGTTCATGTTCTGTCGACCACTGTCTGGAAGCGAAAGTGTTATGCAAATGGTTCTATGTACATTAGTGCATGTGCACAGAATCCCATGAGGGATAATTGTGTTCATTATGGTATTTTTTGATTTAAAAAAGATAATTTCATTGAAAACCATGCAAGTTAAGCGGCCCCTGTCGGGGGTACTAATCACCTGACGGGGGTGGCAGCCCCGTCGGGGAAGATCTGGCGCTACCGCCGCAACCCATACATTCGCGATAGTATACAACACCTCGCACTTAACAGTTTTTAATCCCTAAAATTTGACAGCTTATAATAGTAAAGCATACCTAAATTGTATTTTCGGCAATCAAGATTTCATTCCTTTGCCCTCCTGGACCCCCGCTAGCACCACCCCCTGGTTCTCAGGGTGTTCCATGTGTGTGTCTATATATCATATGACTTACCAAGTAAATATCAAAATCTGTAAATGGAACTTTACTTATAAATGCATAGTGCAAGCCCAGTTTCAATCAGGTAATAAAAATGATGGTGTTTGATAATTTTACAACAATTACAAACAGTAAAGCAAGGATTCCTAAGCAAGCAAAGAAGGTGATCTATATTGAAACTGCTCAGATGAAGACAGCTGGAGACTGGTGGGTATTACTGTCCTTGTTGGGGGTAATAGCGTGTCATATGTATCACAATTTTCTCTCTGATATGCTTCCCCAAAAGATGAGGGGGGTGCAGCTCTCCTCAATAGAGGGGTCCTCTTTCCTGCTCCCTTGATGGCACCACTGCTGCTTTCATACTGCAATCTGTTAAGCTATAATAATAGCTTTATTTGGAAACTACACTTTTGATCAGTGGCACACGTCATGAGGTGCCTTCACAATTTTCCACAAAATGTAAATTAATTAAAAAATAAAAGATAATCTTACCCAAGACGATCAAGGAATGTTCCCATTCTACGTTTTGAAGATGCTCTATCCAAGAAAGCTCTGCAAATATAAACAGATAATTCTTGTGAAACTACAGTATGAAGATTACTTAACCAGCTAAGCCACTGGGATTTTGGTGGGAATTAATATCTGATATTAAGAAGCAACTGATTCTTCATGATCTTGCTTTTGCATGGAACCACTCCAGTTCATAATGCATTGCAAATAACAGGGATCAAAAAATGATACACACTCATCTTTATAGAACAGCACATCCATTTTGGGTGACAGTGTCTTTGTTATTTCTTGGCATTATTTTCATGTTATAATTGTTTGTAATTTGTACTATATTTATTATTATTTCTTCTGTAATGCATTTTGTATTGTCTTGCCAAAAGGAATAAAATAACTAAAAAATCTTATACATTTAAAGACAAAAGAAGATCTCCCAAAAGATACTTTTTTAAACTAAATCATGGTACAATATAGAAACTGTCTTGTAGTGATGCTATATAAACTATATCAATCTATAACATTAGCAATAATTAACTGAAAATCATAATCACTATTGAAAATCAAAATCATAATCATAATAATAATCATATAATATGTCACACATATTAGTACTGATAGTTGTGCAAGGCAAAAGTAGAAAATGTCACAAGGTTTAAAATTCATAAAATAATAAATTTTCTGTGTTCTGGAAAGTATACTTTAATTGTCTTGTACCACTATATATTATAAGACAATGAAACACTTCCCAAGGTTAAAACATAGATAAGTTAAAATCCTTATTTATGATAAATGTCAAATGTACAAATAATTGCCAAAGGAGCATTTTAATGAAGGTTAAGGTGTAAAATATTAATGTTGAGAGTGTGAAATTTGAGTCAAGCAACTGATTCCTTGTTGAGAGTGAAAGGATCAACCTTGTAAAGTCCATTTCTCAACATTGAGTCTTCCCTTTGAACAGTTGTAAGTCAACAAACAATTTGAAATACTAAGAAGTTGTTTTCTCAGTTTATGTCAGTGATTGATCATACATTACTGTCAGTGAAAATGTGTGGGTATACACATCCACTCAAGAACTTACACCTGGGGATGTTTACATTTCAACTGGCATTAAGAGAGTGAATAGAGGCTTGCAATTAATTATGGTATTTAGCTGTGACAGTGTAGCTAATATTATACATCCCCTTTATCATTTTGCGAAGAGCAATTTACCAAGACAAATAATTTTGTTTTTGATGAGTATGCTCATAAAACAGAAGTTCATGTTCTAAATTGTTCTTTATTTTCTTAGAACAGATTAACTTAATGCATTCAAGACTTAAGGAGTTCATGCTGTTTCAACAAATTATATAAACACATGTAATTGATTACGAAAATGATAATAAAACTAACTCTCTGCTTGCTTGATTGTAGCATTATTATTTTTTATAGGAGATACTTTTCTTGTAGGGCCTTATTTTTTATTTTTTCATTCATTTTGGAAAATATTTTAATATGGTACTACACAAGGTAAATAAGATTAGTACAAATAGTTTCTTGGACAAGCCAAGAAGCTTTAATGACTTATTTCCATTTTGGTCCATTTAACTTATAATAACAATCTATTATACTTGACATCATATGACATTCTGTGATATCTATGCTTGAAAAATAGTACTGCCTCATGCTACAAAAATTAAATGAATCTAAATCATCGACAGGTTAATGTCTTTGCTCTCCAATTAGCTACATTACACATACCCCAAGGGGGACAGGACACACATGTCTGGGTACACATGTGCATTCCTTCATTTTTTAAAAGCTCCTAAACATGTAAAATACAAAGAATATGTTCTAATCTTTTTCAAGAATTGCTTTCACCCTTGGAGGCAGATTGAAAGGAGGCTTATGGTACTCTAGTGGATAGAACTCCAACCCTAAATGTGCATTTACTGATGTGTGTCTTATTCTTACGAAAAAATACACTCATTTAACTGCCGAACAGAAGTTTTAATTACTTCATGTTTATAAACCCTTTGTGGGCCACAAATTTGTCTTTTGTAAAAACCACCTTTCCACTTCGTTTTGGAATGCATGCATTATAGTGTTTACAAGTGCCCCTCCCAAAGAATCTAAAATTTTGGACTGCTATTTATGCTTTCAAAATAGTGCTACAGTGCAAATAAAATGATTTAAAAAACGTTGACAGGTTGTCTTTGCTTCTCAATATGCTACGTTCCCGCGAGGGACACGTCCTATTAATTACGTTATTACTCAATAGTCGATTGAGAATATTCTAAACATTAGGCCATAACCTCCACATTTCATAACATTTATACAGTCTCATCGTGTTAGGTGGATTAAAAGCTATAAGTCCTCAAACGTCAACGTATTCCCAAGCTACTCTCAACACAATTAGCATTGTTTACACATGGTACTCAACTCGTGTTTAATACAGGTATTAAAAACCAAATTATATACAGTACACTAGAAATTCTCTCCTTTATTAATCTCTATGTCCATTGGGAAATCTGTAACACATTTGCACATTTAAGGATAATTTTCTGCATGAATTAAAATTTATCTTGCATATAATTTGAAAAGTAAATTTCAAAGATATGAACTATTTAAATCATAAGAAATATAATATCAGTATCTATGCCATGTCAAATTTATAAAGCTATTATTTGAATAACAACATGAACATTCTAAACAAGAAATATAGGAAATAATAAATATTGTATCGTTTAAAATAGAGGACTCAACAACTCAAAACTTTCTTCCTTATAATTTCTACTAAATAAATAAAGTAATATTTAGATACCAAGGTAAAATAATTTAATCAATATTTACGTTTAAAAGAAATATACTCTATATATATTTTATTACTTTCATTTCCATTTCAGATTTTTGTAAATTTTCAATCTTACCAGTAACCTATAAGATTTTCTTTTCTGCAATTATTATGTTTGACACATTTAAGCTGTCTAGACTGTCTAGACTAGATTGATTTTTATATCATACCATAACTTTATAATTTCCAATATTTCTTCTCTATTTCTGGCAGTTCAATTCTTACCAAGTCTGTTTTGAATTTTGATTTAGAATTGAGACAGTAGATGTTAAAATTTTAGATTAAGTATATTAAAATGAACTACAAATACCACCTTGGCAGTTCTCTATTTTATTTTTTGTAATAAATGTAGTCCCTTTTAGAATAGAAAGTTTCCAATATTTACACAAGAGAGCACTTTATTATTATATTATTGATATTGTCAAATAAATACTAAAGAATGAAAGTTTTTATGAGATTACCAATAAGAAATTCCATAATATGCAGATTTTCTTTTCTACAAATACTTTATATATACAGTTATTTTTCCAGTAATGATGTTTTTTATGCTTTTGTGTTATCTTTATGTCGTTTCTTACAAAAAACAATTTTCTAATGTATTTTATTGTATATTGGACAAATAAACATGTATTGCAGTGTATTACATTTAATATATTGGACAAATATATACTGTATTATCTACACTAGATTGATTTTATATATGATGAAATTCATCATATATTTTTTTCTCTATTTCTGTATGTCAGGTGAGTGTTTTTGACCCAGAATTAAGACAGTAAATGGTATAAATTTTGAACAATTAAATTTCAATATAAGGCAATAATAAGAACATCATCTACCTTGGCAGTTACTGTTCTCTATAATGTTTCATTTTAGGGGAGTCCTCTTTTTGAAATAAAAACTGTTTAGTAATCTCAATTTTGTATAATTTAGAAAGGTTCTCTGAGATATATTACAGCTGTATTTATAGTATCAATAAATATTTCATTTATAAATAAAATGATACATTTATCCAATTTATCTTGCATAAATTACAAATCCTTATTTGATAAATAAATGATGGTTTCAACAAAACATTTTCATGTTCTGAATTACAACTGAAAGTCAATAACTTACTTAAAATACACACAGTAGCGAATTTAAATATGGTTTTTTGCATGTTTTTTAACTTGAGATAGGCAGTATCTCTTTAAACTAAATAAACTGATAGATATATATTTTTTCTATATCCATAGCGAATGCAACATGATGAGGTGGGTGCAACATTTTTAAGGATGATCCTCTTAGACTGTGCTACTAACAAGCAGCAGGTAGTGTCGCCTCATCGAGCCTCACAGAGAGCGAAGATGAATTCATCGGCCAGCGGTCATAGTATGTGCCCCGCATAGGTTTGCAAAGCACCTTAAATGGAGAATTACTTGTGCTTGGATGAGAATGAAAATATATATGACTCTATTTTGACATTGGAAATATATTATAACTTCAGTAGTATGACACTATTACCAATGAGAAGCTAATACAGTTCATTACCTATAATAATTTGTCATGGGAGATTAGCTGCCATGCAGGCAGAACCCTGTCTGAGCTATGCCCAATTATCTGTATTAATACTATCCTGAAGCCTATTCCAATCACAGGAGACTCCAATCATATGTGGGGATAATTCGATGAGACGTGGGGCTAAATTGGTTGTCCCTGAACTTGTAAGCTTTAGCAATGTTCGTTAGTACAAGAGTCAAAATCTATGATACTTTTGTATTTATCTAGACACTGTAACACATGAAATAATTGCATTTTCTTGCATACACATTGAAAACTGTGGATATTATGTTTCATTACATATAATAGTATGTAATTTAAATAAATAATGGATGAAAAAATGGATTTTAGTTTTATCCAGAATATTAAATGAAAAAAAAAAAAACATTAATAGCAATAAAATAGGAATTTATATACCGCCTCCCATCTGGTGTGTAAGTCAGAGGGCAAAAGGAGATTTATAAGTAACTTTTAAAAAATAAGAAGTTATGGAATTCCTAATGCGAGGGGGAAGGTAATTCCAGAGAAACTGGGCAGCAATCAAAAAAGTTTGGTCATTAGATTTCTTATGAGGTAATTCCAGAGAAACTGGGCAGCAATCAAAAAAGTTTGGTCATTAGATTTCTTATGGGACCTCGGTCAGAGCAAATTGTGGTTTTATGGGATGGGGTTTTATG